TCCATCCATCCATCCATCCATCCGTCCATCATCCATCCATCCATCATCCATCCATCCATCCATCCGTCCATCATCCATCCATCCATCACCCATCCATCATCCATCCATCCATCTGTCCACCATCCATCATCCATCCGTCCATCCATCCATCATCCATCCATCTATCCATCATCCATCCATCCATCCATCCATCTATCCATCATCCATCCATCCATCCATCCATCCATCCTCCCCGCACAGGCTGCACTCAGCTCTGCAGCAAGGACTTGCAGGGAAGTTTGGTGGGTTGCTGCTCATAGTGAGCTTTGTTGAAAAAACAAGGCATACAGTAGGAAAAGTGAGCAATATGATTGCCTATACTGTTATTCATGCTTAAAAATCAATGGAAAAAGTACATGTAGAGAGCATTATCCTTTTTTAAATGCGTGAAACTTGATCACAGCAAAGTAAACAAGTAACTCATAGTAGATTTTGAAGGTACATTTAATCTACGTGTCTTTGGAAAGAGAGAACTAGCGTGTCAGTATAAAACCTGTGATGATTTAAAGGTAAAAATAAATGGCATTAACTGTGTCAGCAAAGACAAATTAACCAAGGAGTTAAATCATAGTTAAATTTTCAGTCTTGTCAAGAAATTTAATGCTATGTTAATGAATTTTGTAGTGAGACTGTTTTGAATAGACTCCTTTTTCATCAGATGTTGTGCATATGCTCTCTGTTTGTCTAAAATAAAATGTAATGGAACAGCTAATAAACTCCCAATTTATTTGTTTCCTTTAAGAAACAAATCCTCAATGTGCAATTACTGTTCTTTGTGTTCTGTACATGCTTTCTTCCTTTCAGAGTGTAGCTCTTACTAAACGTTTTCTCTCCTCTTGCTCCTAATTAGGAAAAATAAAATATGCAGGTAGACAGGCCAGTAATACAGGAAAACTCCTAAACCTTTCTTCTTCCACTCTGGGACTGTACAAGGAATAATTGTGGGCTGTGTGGCCTGGGAAGCAAAATGATAAAATGTGAACAGGGAGAAGGCACAGCTTTGTCTGTTTTTTCTTACGTTTGACCTCAGAAGTGATCAAGAGAAAGAAACAAGTTGTGACTCTGCATACATAAATTCTGAAGTGGTTTTATTTTGTTCTGTTTTCAGAACTTTGTAAAGTTAGAGGGGGAAACAGAGCAAAACCAAACCAGCTTTGCAAGAGTTGGGAAGTTAATCCCGGCATGAATGCTTTGAAATAGGCCAAAATCGTTAATAGTTCCTCATCTCCTCATCACCTTGGTGCACTGCCTTCCCGTTCTTTGGCACTTATCCTGATCCCCAGGGTGCAGTTGACTTGTTCCATTAATAGCTATATTAAACTTTATTTTTGCTGTTGAGGTCTTTGACTTACTTCAACACCAAGAACTGGTGTAAACTATCTGTGAGAAGGTGCTGAGGAGCACTGCAATCTTCAGTGCCTATAAAAAGACTTGGAGCCTGTGCCTAAATACCATGCTCTGTTTATTTTCTAGAACAGTGAAGGCATTTACCATTTTGGTTACAGAAAATTTCTTTTTTCTTTCTCTTTTTCTGAACGCAGGACCTTGGTGATGGTTATCTTAGTAAGACACATTTCCAAGTAAGAAACAGACACGTCCCACCAGACCTCAAGGAGAAAAACAACGATAACACTGAACAAATGTTACTTGTACATGTAGAAGTAAGTACAGATTTTTGAACTTGCGTGTTTATAAAATAAGTAATAAAATTAAAAACCACTATGCTAGTAAGTCCTTCCAGGAAGACTTCAGATCTGAAGTTACCAGTGGCTTTTAATTAATTGTCCTGTAGTTACAGAAAAACTAATTAATATACCTCATTGAGATGTACAGTTGTATTGGTGATGAAAATTGGGAAGAAATGAAAAAGATGCTAGCATTCTTTATGTAGGTGTTCTCCTCACAGAATATTTCTTAGCATTTTGATTCACTAAGAAAACTTTTTTTGTATGTGTGTGTTGGGAAAAATCAAGATTTATTTATCCTAGACGTTAAAAGAATAAAGGAAACTTTGAGGTTAATACTTATTTGAAATTGTATTTATTGAGTAAGACTTCTATAGTCAGTGGCTACTTTTCTACTGTGGAACTGACTTAAAGACTGAGCAATTTTTTGAAACTGGTGGTGGGCAATGAGATGTTCCTGAAGGAGAATAAATGTCTGTCTTCCAGAAAAAGGAAAACTGTTCCTTAAACTCTGTTCGGACTGATCTGAATAATTACTTGCTTGCTCGAGTCTTCATTAGATCTCCGAATTATTGACTAATCAGGATATAAATGATAGGGATTCCCTCCCTTGTTATGCTGTTACCAATAAATAAGAAAATAGATCTTGGGTTATAATAGATTGAAAGCAAGGTGTTCTGTATGCTATAAGCTGTTGAATAGGTGGTAAACTTTGCAGTTATATTTTTCTGCAATTTCTTTCCTTTTTTCCATCAGCACCCTGCGTTTTTGTTTTTTTTTTTCCCACTGAGACTCTGGTGCATTTAAGACATGTCTGGTCTGAAATGAGTATTCTTTTGGCCTGGTTTCTGAAGGAAATGGCACTTAAAACAATTGTGCTATTAGTCTGTGATACAGTCATTTCTTCTGATTTTTGAGCTCACTCACAGGTTTCAGCTGCATTTTAAAGAGGGACAGGTATCCAAGTCATTTAATGAATAGATGAGGCATTTTTCAAGTTTTTCTTTAAATTATATTCTAGTATTTTATAAAAAGAAGGTGAGTATCAATGCTTCAGGGGTTGTTATTTAATTGTCATTAACAACAGTGTTTGTATACTTCAGTCCTGACTTCTAACAACAGATTACTGTTTATACTGAAAATTGCTTTTGATTATTGTGACCTTTTTTTTCCCCTTAAATAATGAATCAAGTCTTCATTACAGAGTGCATTTTAAAAGAACACCTGTAAAAGCTATTGAGTCCTTCTGGTGTCAGTTACAGAAAATATCATAAAACAAAGAAGACTTCAGAATCTCTAACATACTGAAATGTTAAATACAGTGAAATATTATAATAAAAAATACACTGAAATAAGCTTCCAGGCCAAACTTTATGTTTTATCAAGACACTGAAGTGTGTAGTCCTGAAGATATTCGGGAAGATTTCTCTGTTTTGAGCCACAGTAATGTGCAGGTTGGAAGGACCCTTTTGGAGAAGGAGCCTGTCGTGTAGGAGCAGTAAAGATGAAGAGTGAAACAAGAGAAAGATCTGAGAACACTATGGAGGTTATAAAACCATAAGAAAAATAATTAATTTCTTCTCCAAAATATTCAATGCCTAATAGAGATGATGTAAAATTTGCATTCTACATTGAGCTGAAGAGTAACCAGAGTATTAAAGTTATTTAATCTATCAAATAGGAAAACAAAATTTGCTTTGGATGTGTAGAGTAAAGCTGTGTGTTTAACAGTAAGAAATATGAAAATGGTGGCCGTAGAGAGGTTATATTTTCTTTGGCAGAGTAGTTCCTGTGTAAGATGCATGTTCTTTTTCACAGATACTGAGTGCTAGAGACCAATTCCACTCTAATAACAATCTGTTATTTAAATAGGTGTTAGGGCTTGGGGTTTTTTTTAGTTTTAAGATATGTTGTACCCATAAATCACATGGTGTTACTGAATTGCTGCAATCTGTTTGAATAAGTTATATAGATTCTGATGAAAAGCAAAAATTGTGGTCTTGGTGGAAATTGGAAAGGTTTCTTCTGGGTATATCCATTCAATATTTTTTTTTAATTAGTAAATTTTATTTTTATATATTTGGAGCTTAAAAAAGCTCTAAATAGGAAATAAAATTTATTTTGTTTAAAAAACCAGCCATTGACTGATAGTTGCATATTTCTCAATTTTCAGTTCCAGAATTACTGTTATGATCTTGATTTTTCTGTATTGTATCTCTATTATTTGTATCTTACTGGAATATTTCCATCTGTCTAATCTGATCTCCTCCAAGGTGTGGTAGATACGATGCATATGTATATAATAATATAATTAACAGGAACAGTAAGAAAGGAAAAACATGGAAATTAAGATCTGAGTAATCAACATTCATTGTTAGGAACAATCAGTGTTGGCACAAATAAAAAAAGACTGTGGTGTGGAGTATGCCAGGGTATAAGAGGCCAAAGATTTTCCTCCCCTCATCCTGGAAATCCAGTTCGAAGGTTAGAAATACAATATTAGTTTTGGCAGGTGAGGTGAACATTTGGAGGAAAATCAGAAGACAGATTTTTGAAGTGAAGTTATGGGAAAGTTATCCATAGTGAGGATTTAACTCCTGTGTAAGGATTGAACCCAAGACACATCAGGGAGGAGGCGATGTGGAATAAAGCATAAATATATCCTGTTGCAGTGGGGTACACTTAGGATGTTTAAACTTTGGGGTACACTTGGGATGATTAAATTTTGCGGAAGGACAAAAATATCATTGTTCTACTCATTTTTAGTCTGTGAAGAAACACTGAAACTTAATGATACAATAAAAAAAATACACAAATAGCCCAAAGTAACTTTATCCAAATAGAAAATCAATTATCGGTTATCACAGTGTCAAAAATGTGCTAATCTTGTGGCATCTACTGGAAACTTGACCAATTTACTTGGAATTTGTTTCACCTCACTGATTAGCACGGACAGTTAATGTTTCCAACTTTCCATTTCATTGATTGCTCTGTAAATACCAGGAGTCTTCCTGGTGAAGGAGTGATTAATAACTTTGTATTCTGGTCTTTTCCACAGAGCACTCTATATTATGTGCTGGTTCCTTTTATACAAGTTGTGTTTTCATCTGAAAACCAAGAATAAAATTCTATGTGGGTTTCTTTCTGCTTATTTTAGGTATCTGCAATATAGAGCTTGTCACTTAAATCTTTGTTTCAGCCTGAGGAGGTAAAAAAGCATTTTTGGGTATAAATCAGTTGACCTATTTTAGATGTCTCCTCTAAGAGAGGATGAGTCTAAAAGTGTGTGTTTTTCCTCAGGGGTGATCAAGGTTAAGCTACGTGGCTGTAGGTGCCTGCATGTTGTCATGTGAGCCCCCTACAACAAAAGGTGGCTCTGGGCTCCTTACAGCACAGGGAATTTGTGCTGCTGTCTTCACTGGAGCTGAGATTTCACTTTGATGGTGGAGCTCATACTTAGTTGAAGATTGTGTTTTGTGAAGTAACAACTTAAAGACAGTTTAAGGAAGTTTGGCTTTTTATACTTGGCAGTGTCTCGGTTGTCAAGCTGTTTATCTTAATGAGGTGTCTGGGGATCCTGTCTTAGGCAGACCCTATTTTTCCATCCTCCTGGAAGAGGATTCACACTGTTCTTCTGGTATGCTATCCTCTTTCTTGTGGTTTTACTTTAATCACAATGTTTATTTCAACATTCTGATTGGTAAACAGAAACTACTAATGACATTGTGACAGATGATAAACTTTAGGCCAAGTTGGTAGAGGATGCCCTTCCGACCAGTAAGATGAGATTCACTCCCTTGGATATGAGCTGAAAAGTCATAAACATTTTAGAGTCTCTTTCAAAAGAATAAATATAGCCTGAGATGCAAAGCAAAGGACAGAGAGAACAAACAGGCACCATTTGAAATTTTTTAAGTTGCCATTTTGTTCTGGTTAAATTTTTATTGAATCAGTTGTTGTCTTTCTGAGCCGTTCTGACTTTATGCCAGCTGAGTGTCATCTGTACTTTTCCACAGACAGCATAAATCTTGTGTAACCACCATAAAACGTTCTGGCTAATTCAACAGCAATCTTCAGTATGTATTTTTTTCTTGATCCAAATCAAATCTGTCCTCCCAGGACATCTGTCAGGGTCTTTATCAGTGAACATGGGACTGTGTCTTCTTTTCTAGCAAGGACAGAACAGTTACATACATTATTGCATGAATTGTTGATAAAGTGAAAAATACTGTACAAGATTCAAAGTGAAGATAGTTCTCCTGCCTCAAAGAGCTTATACTCTGAACGAGTAAAATGGGAAAATCTGGATTCACTTTATGCGTTCTCTTTGTTTGTTATTCAAATAGCCCAAGGGAAGCAATAACTTGGAGTAATAATTCTCAGTGTGTGGTTTGTCTCAGCTCCTCTGGGTATTGCAGAAGAAGTGAGTCAGCATGGAACCATTCCTGGAGCTGGAGCCACTGCCACTTTATAAAGGAGTGGGCAGGTTGGGAATGCTGAAGGTCTGTTCATACCTGATACTGCCTTTGGAAAACAAGCACTGGGCCCCAGCAAAAACTGACGAAGTTATGCATTTGCTGCATTGTGGGCTCCACCTTTGCTGGCAGCTGTTCATGAGTGTTGATGAGGATCTGCCTGATGGGGGATGTGGGAATGAGTCTGACATCTTTCTTAAACATTGTAATTCCATAATTTTCTGTTCAGCTGTGCTTTTAAGTTTGTAGAAAATAGAAAATGACAATTTTTAGCACTTATTAATAATTTTTTCTCTAAACAAATCCAGTATTTTTACAATTAGGAACAGCTCCTTTTTTTTTTTTGGGGTTTTTTTTTTTTTTCTGTGCTAAAATAAATGAGATGAACGCAGTGTAAACATTTGCATAACCGCAGTATTTGTTGGATGGTTAAGTGAAAACCCAGCAAACAGTGCTTAAGGAAAAAAATGTAAATACATTTAATAGAATCCAGCATTCACT